TCCCTGTCTTCTGCTATTTGACTACTTAAAGCTACTTATGTTGACATTAACAGAAAAACTAGTGACATCCAAACGAAATGAGGAGTTTGGTTAGTAGCAATGTACAAATTTTGGCTTCTTAGTTTTAGTAAAAGTATCATGGTAGTGTTAGATGTTAGCATTTGGGGAAACTGTCAGGAGTATGCAGAATTCCCTGTATTATCATCTTTGCATCTTTTCTGGGAATCTAAAACTATTCCAAAATAAAAATTTGATTAAAAATAATTATTATGTGTAGACTTTTAATCATGACATCCTTGTTTTTAAAAATCTTACGAAGTAGAAGCATAAATTTCTAATTTATATAAATATGTATTGTGAGTTATGAGAAGGTATCTTAGTGATACTAGTTCTCCATAAAATTGTGTGTATTTTTCTAATTTATTTTTAACATGTTCATGCACAACTGCTTATTGGTAGTTTCACCAGCTGTTGTTCTAATTTTAGAGAATGACTGTATCACTTTAGGTTGCTTTTGTGACATTGTTTAATAAAATGAAAGAGTGGGTCTGACCTGAACAGTGTATAAATTAGTATAAGAAAATGTGTTTTCTGTATCAAATCTTGGTTCAGTATTATAGGATAAACAATAATTCTATGCCTTAGCTCCAAAGATAGAAAATCATAATATAAATCTTTGCTTTTATCCCTAACATCTCACATTAAGTAGAAATGAAAGAAATCCTTTGTGTCTGTATGTCTACCTGGCATGTTGCTTCCATCAGCCAGCTCCAGCTTGACCACACCCTCCTGCAACAGCAAATAGCTTTCTGTGAACCATCTTTGACCCTCTGGCAAATTTCTTTGCCACTGGCAGACTATGTGTTCCTGTGTCAGCCATATCTTCAAAGAAGTCTGAATCTCAGCCATGGGTCATTAGGTTACCTATAGGTAACAGCTTAGGTATGAAGGAGAAAATCAACTACTTTTTGAAAGACTGTAGAGTGATTGCTTTGAGACTATCTATTTGAATATTTTCTCATCATTATTTTGTTATTAAAAAGGACATTAAAATTTTCATATATGGGCACTTAAACGTGGCAATATAATTTTCCAACCTTCATAAAAATTTTCCAAAAAGAAATGATTTTGGCTTCAAAGTGTTAAAAATATTAAACATACAATGTTTAAAATATTGGCTTGCAGAAACAACTGGTTTTCAAAAGGAAGAATGGATTTTTACTAGTGAGATTCCAACTAGAAATCTTTGCATAATTAGCATGTGGATTGAATAATCAAGTGTCAAGTTTAGTAAGTACAACCAGTGATGCCTTTATTCCATTTAAATCAGTACATTTCCTGAGAAGCCTTTCTTCACGACAGCCATCAGTGCAAGTTTAGAAATAAACTAAACTTAAAACAAGATCTTAAAAAAATCAAAGAACTGGCAACACTTCCTAACTCATTTTATGAGGCCAACATTAACCTGATACCAGAACCTGGCAAGTATAATACACAAAAAAGAAAACTACAGAGTAATACCTCTGATAAATACAGATGCCGAAATCCTAAAGAAAATACTAGTAAATTGAATACAACAATACGTTAAAAAGGTAATACATAAGGATCAAGTGGCGTTCATTCCAGACATGCCAGGATGATTCTACACATGCAAATCAATCAATGTGATACGCCACAGTAATAAAATAAGAGAGAAAAATCATGATTGTACCAATAGATACAGAAAAAACATTTGATAAGATACAATACTCATTTTATGATTAAAACTCTCAATCAAATTTGTATATAGGAAAATACAAACACAATAAAGGCCGTATGTGACAAATCCTGAGCTAATATCATACTTAGTGGTGAAAAACTGAAAGCTTTTCCTTTAAGATCAGGACTATGACAAGGATGCCCCCTCTCATCACTGTTATTCAGCACAGCACTGGAAGTCCTCGCCGGAGAAATCAGGCAAGAGAAAGAAATAAAAGGCATCCAAGTTGGGAATGAAGAAGTCAAATTGTCACTTTTTGTAGACAACATGATTCTTTATATAGAAAACTCTAAGACTCCATTAAAAAACTATAAGAAACAATAAATAAATAAATATAGTAAAGTTGCAGGATACAAAATCAATGGGAAAAATCCATTGCATTCCTATGTGCTAACAATGAAACTTCAGATACATAAATAAATAAATAAATAAACAATTCCTTTTGTAATTGCAACAGAAAGAGTAAAATACCTAGGAATAACGTTAAAAGGACGTTAAAATAATGTTAAAAGCACTGAAAACTACAAGATATTATTAAAAGAAATTGAAGAAGACACAAAGAAATGGAAAGACTCTGTGTTCATGAATTGTACGAATCAACATAGTTAAAATGGCCATATTACTCAAAGCAATATACAGATTTAATGCAATCTACACCAAAATCCTAATGGCATCTTTAAAAGAAATAGATAACAATAAAATCCCATCAGATTTGTTGGAATCACAAAAGACCCTAATAGCCAAGCAATCCTGAGAAAAAAGAACAATGCCAGAGGTATCACACTCCCTGACTTCAAATTATACTACAAAGTGACAATAATCAAAACAGCATGGTATTGGCAGAAAAACAGACACAGAGACCAATGGAACAGAATTGAGAGCCCAGAAACAAACCCAAATATATATGGGCACATATGTGATTTTTGGCAAAAACATACAATGGAGAAAGGAAAGCCTCTTTAATAAATGGTGCTGGGAAAATTGGAAAGCCACATGCAAAAGAATGAAAGTAGACTGCTATTTATCACCATACACAAAAAATTAACTCAAAATGGATCAAAGACCTAAATAGAAGAAAACAAAGGTACTAAACTTATGGACCTTGGTCTTAGAAAAGATTTTATGAAATTGACCTTAAAAGGCAAAGAAAACAAAAGCGAAAACAAATGAATGTGACTATATCAAACTAAAAAGCTCTGCTCAGCAAAAGAAACCATTAACAAAACAAAGAGGCAACCAGTCAAATAGAAAAGGATATCTGCAAACACCTCCAATAAGGGGTTAATATCCATAATATACAAAGAACTCATACAACTCAACTGCAAAAAAACAAACAATCCAATTAAAAAATGGGCAGAGGACCTGAACAGACACTTCTCCTAAGAAGACATACAAATGGCCAACAGTATATGAAAAGATTCTCAACTTCACTAGCTATCAGGGAAATGCAATTTAAAAGCACAACGAGATACCACCTCACACTTGTCAGAATGGCTAGTATCAACAAGACAAGTAGTAACAAGTGTTGGAGAGGCTGTGGGGAAAAAGTAACTCTCATACACTGCTGGTGGGAATATAAATTGGTATAGCCACTATGGAAAACAGTATAAAGGTCCCTCAAAAAATTAAAAATAGAATTACCATATGACTCAACAATCCCTCTTCTGGGTATCTACCCCAAAAAATCTGGAAACATTTATCTGTAAAAATATGTGTACCCCTATGTTCATTATTCATGGTGGCCAAGTCGTGAAAACAACTGAAGTGCCCTTAGATAGATGATTGGATAAAGATGTGGTACACATATACAATGGAATATTACTTGGCCATGAGAAAAAATGACATACTGCCTTTTGCGACAACATGGATGGATCTTGAGATAATGCTAAGCGAAACAAGTAGGATGGAAAAAGTTGAGAATCATATATATGATTTTACTCATATGTGGGGTGTACAACTGAAAGCAACAAACAAATAAGACAAACAAAAACTCATAGACACAGACAACAGTTTAATGGTGACTAGAGGGAAAAGGAGGTGGAGGGGAGGTAGTAATGGGCAACGGAGGTCAAATGTATGGTGACGGAGATTTGACTTGGGTGATGAACACACAGTGTGATATACGGATAATGTATTATAGAATTGTACACTTGAAACCTATATAATTTTATTGACCAATGTCTCCTCAATAAATTTAATAAAACTTAAAAAAAATAAAAATACTCTTAATGCAACCTAGCCCCCACAAAACCAGGCCTTCAAATTAATTATTTCGAAGCCTTAAACTAAGATGAAAACAAACACATATTCAATTACATTAGTCTCATTAAATTTTAAAATAATTTTTGTAAGCACAAAAATGTGTATTTCTAATTAAAAATTTTCCTTCTTTTTAATTTCCATTTATGTGTTTTATAGTATTCATCATCTATTAGTATTTAGCATATTAGTGCACATAAATTCACATAGATACTGGGGATGCGTGGACGAAAAATTGTTTTGATGGGTGTCCTACCAAAACAGTTTGGAAACAAATAGTTTGAGGAACATTTTTAACCTCTGGTTTTCCTTCTGGTTAATTTTCAAAGTCAAGTCCGTTGACAAAAACATCCAGCCTAAGAGAAAGCTTATGGGAGTTTATTTGAGCCAAACTGACAACAATTGCTGGGAAGGAAAATCTCAATGGATTGAGAAAATGCTCCGTGAAATGGCAGTTTGCAGCTTATTTTATACATGGAATCAAAGGAGGAAGGTTTCATGAAATCCACTGGTGACAGATTAAAGGGGTGGGAGAAAGCAAAGTGGGGAAATCTCTGGGATTGGATAAAAGTAAATTGGAGAGACAGGTACTTCTTACACATAGGTGGGTGCAGAATAGTTACTTGCTCACATAGAGACGTTAATCAAGGGACAAGAATAATGAGGGATTCTGTACTTTCCTGCTCTGGTCCAGAAAAACAGATTACTGACATTCCAAGGATGTTATTTTAGGTGTAAAAAGACAACCAACAGGCCCACTCAAAGGCACAGATTAACTTTATGAAGGAAGCTGTTGGCTAAAGATGTGACTTCCCGCCATGGCCCACTTAGGTATGAAATTTTTTAAATGCTCACTCCATCTTATGTGGTTATTTTCAGTCTCCTGAGCTTGTCAAGTGTAATATGGGGCCCCCTTTCCGACCACAAGTCCCAATGCTGACACCGCTCTTGCATACATGCACCAAATAGGAATTCTGTGCGTACTAACCCAGGAAGAGGAACCGATCCCCCCCCCAAAGCCTTCCACAAACACAACTCAGAGGACCGGCACGCTGGCCTGGGCAGGAGAGTGCGTGCCAGGCTCAGGCTCCTCCCGGGGTCCAGCCTGGGGGTGCGGAGCCAGAGATTGCAATATCTGACCCGGCTGACTCATGCACCGGAAGCCTTGCCCGAATCAAAGCGGACGTGAAGCATCCAGCAAGCTGGAATAGGATCCCCGGCGGCAGAAGCAGCAGCAAGGGCCGCAGCAGGCATCCCCCAGGTACCGGGGCTGGGAGGCGCTCCGGCCGTCAGGTTCCCTGGGCGGACACCTCCCGCCTGGAGCGCCGGTGGAGCGCTGGAGAGAGGAAGGGAGGGAGCAAGGGAAGAGGCCGACGCTAGAGGAGGTGGAAGAATGGGAGTGGACCCGGGGAATGGTGGCGGGGGGTAACCGGGCAGGACAGCCGCGGGGCTGGGGTCACCTTAGCCCCCGCCGCGCCCTTGGCCCGGGCGCAGCGCAGAGCGGGGGCGCTGCGGAGCATCGCCACCAAGGGCCGGGCCGCGGGTCGCGAGCGAAGGACCTCCCGGGGTCTGAGGCTGGTCCCCGGGGCGGGAGGGGCACCCGCAGCCTGCTGACGCCACCGCGCTGCGATTCGCCAGCACCGAGGGCGTGGCCAGTAACCCGAGCCGGGGGCGGTGTTGCGAGCAGGATGGGCGGAGACGTTGGGCAGGGCGAGTGGGCGGAGCCGCGGGGAGCAGCGCGGTGACGAGGGCGCGGACGGCGGCCTGGCCTGGAATTTCTCCGGCGCAAGTTCCAGGCCGACGCCACCGCCTGCGCAGATAAATGCCCGTCCCCGATGCGATCCAGTTTGTAGGTTGCACATTCGCTCTCCTTTCCCTCCCTCTATACCGCCTCTCCTCTTTTCTCCTTCCCTCCTTCCTTCCCTTCCTTGTCTCCTTCTTATCTTTTTTCTTTCTATTTTAACTCCATCCTTTGTCGTTTTTTTTTTTCTTTCGTTCACATCTTTCATCTGTCCTTCATTGGCTGCTTTCCCTCAATTTGAAAAACGCCTCCTCAGCTGTCTTCCCCTCGTCCGCAGCCGCAGTAGCTAATTGAACAGATTGCACGTTTCCCAGATACTCCGCAGCCCTGTAGCTCCTGCTCCCACTCCTTGCTGAGGCCGGTTCATGTGCAGATGGCCTCCGCTGTTCACTACCTTCCCGCCCTCCTCCTCCGGCCTGTCCCGCCCCCCACCCCCATCCCCCCGGACAGTCCTGATTGTTGGGTCTCTGCTTGTCTTCCTCCCCTTACTACCTGCAAATATTGGAAAGTCTTAAGAACCAGGTGAATGTCTTCTCTTCTGCTCCCACTGTACCTTCTGAGTAATTCCATCCCATCTGCCTAGAATCTCCTGGAATCGGGAATGCTGGGGCTCCCAATCTCTCGCTCTGGGACTTGGTCTTAAGTCGCCTACCCCTGTTCACAAAACACCCCCTGGCTGGCTTTGTGGCAGGTTCGGTTGGTGGGAAGTGCTCCACACACCTTTCATGGGATGTACACCTTCCCCATTTCCTGTTGGCTCCTCTATAAACTTACGGTGATTCATGGCCCACCCTCCGTGTAAATTACCTAGGAGGCTGTTAGAAGGTAAACTGAGGCACATTACAAATTTTAAGAGTTTATTTGAGCAAAAATCTGTTTGAATCCGGCAGCATTCAAGCTAGCAGATAGAAACGCGCTCCGAGGAGCTGTACAAAGTGAAAGACCTTTATAGGCAGAAGGGAGCAGGAATAAGGAAGTTGTTGTACTGGCAAAAAAACAGGCTGGTTATTGCAAAGTTGCTTTCCTTCAGGGGCCTGTCGGCAGGGCAGATGACCTAACTAGTGCTGATCGGGCGATTCCTGATCGACTGGTTTAAGATTCCATTTCTGGGAGAGCTGAAACTGTGATTAAGTCTAGATTTGGTGACATGAGGCTTAACATACGGGGAAATGATTCTATTTGAGGCCTCTTGTTTTGAACAAGCCTCAGCGTAATTCTTGACTCCTGCTTCTCTCCCCCTGGTTTGGTCAGTCACCAGCCGGGTAAGCCCACCTCCCACTCTGCAGTGCAGAAGCTCCCTCTGTGTTCAGCAGCCGCTAGTCTATGGCATTGGTCCTCCAGCAAGTTCCCCAGCCTTCTTCTACGCTGTATGGTGAGCCACAGTACTGTTCTAGAACCCCAGTGTATTCCTGTAAAACAGTTGTTTACAACCCATGCATGCCTTTGCAGACCAAAGCTAAAGTTCAGACTTCTAAAGTTGGCATAGGAGCCCATCCTGTGTCTCTGACAGGACATCACACAGACCCTCCCCCTGAGCCCCACACAAACCATGCCCTTCCTGCTACATTCTTTGCACCCACCAATACCACAGCCACAGCCTTAAAATTCACCTCCCCCAACTGACCACCTTACAGAAACTTCTGTGCACCCTTATAGAACCAGCCCACCACTCACCTTCTCCGGAGCTTCTAAAGAGAATTCATTCTGCTTCTCTGTGGTCTTCTTTAGCTCTTTGTAAGTTATCCTGTTGCAGAGACATGGCTGGCTCGACACCATGCCTTCATGTCTGTGTGTCTCCCCTAGGCTGGCAACTCCCAGTCAGCATTTGTTGCTCGTTTTCTCTTCAGAATCATGTAAGGGAAGTTCTACATAAATGCTCTTTAAACAAATTCACGTTTGGATGTGGGTATGGAGAGGGGGAGTGGAGCAGGGAGTTGGCAGGCGTTCAGGGCCCCAGGAAGAGAACAGTGTCACATGCCTGGAAGTAGATGGCTTGCTTTCCTGGCCGACTCTGCCACTCTTACTATGAAACCTGAGGACAGTATTTAATTGTCTTGACCTGGTCTGTTCACCTGTAAAACGAAAGCTAGTTTAATGCCCCTTTATTTTATTGGTGGGAAATAAAATCTTTCCACATTGCTGTGTTTTTATGACACAGTTGAATTGTGGCACTGGCACCCAAAGGTTTTATTTTGTTTTATATTGAAAGTAATCCCTTTTTAGAATTACTGGACTAGGTCCGTTTTCTTTCAAGTTTCAAGCCTCTCACAAGCTTTACTGTACAAATGAGATTGGGGCGCCAAGGAGAGCTGAGGGAAAGAGAGTCATTCTATTATCTTATTCCAGCCCCTGTGTGTCAGTGATGTGAGGTGGGCCACTTCCTGGAGGTGCGCTTGTGTCTGAGTGTGTGCCAGCCAGTGTGTGTTATCGCTATGGGGCAGATTCTGATGGGAAATCCTGTGCTACTGACCAGCATGTGGATGATGGAAAGGAATAGAAGTGAGGAAATGAGATGAAGAAAGAGGGAAGATGGAAGAAAACAGAAAGTGGGCCTTTGTAATACAAGCAGTTAATATGGAAAGTTGAAATTGATGTGATGCTTCAGTTCACTCCTTTGCTTGTTCAGGCAAGACAAGTACACACACGCACCGGTCTAAGCTCATGCCTGCCTCACCCTGAGTTGGAAGCTCTTATGCTCAGGTGGGGTGAAAACTAAATGTATTTGTGTCTCTTGTCTCCAGCTCTCCAGTTCTGTCCTCCTTTGGGTCTCTTTGGTGCCACCTTCTGGTAGGCCTGTTGCACTGACGTTTGTTTATCCCTCTGGCTTCCCTGCTAGCTCTTTATTTCCTGAAATGCCCTCAAGCATAAGGTGAGGACAAGTGGAGCCAGAAGTGGCCTGGAGGCAGGCTGGGCTCTGCGGCTCTGTGGGGCTTGCCCACTGCAGACACAGCAGCCTTCCAGCGTTTGCAGCCTTTGGGTTCAAGCCCTGCAGCTGAAGGCTCTGGAGAGACTTCATGACGTGAGGGCAGTGAGGAATGTCAACATTTTGTCCTCTTTAAGTGACCTATTGAGTATAGAGTACTGCTGTGAAAACTATACCGCCACTGTATTTACTTGGTTGATGTTATAATACATAGTTTCTTTTTCAAACTTTAAAGAATTTGTACTGGTGTAGGCTGTTGTTCTCTATTTAGAGCGTGACCTTCACACTTTTTTTTTAACACCACACTTCTTTTTTTTCCCCCCTTCCTAAATCAGAGACATCTCCTCTTGAAAAAGTATCTTCGGAGGAATCTTCAAGGAAACCATTCAACAGCGGAGAGGCTCTGCTTGAAATAGTTGTCGCCCGTCCCCGTGACACCAGTTCAGCTCCTCTCTCCTGCCTCTGAGAGACCCAGGTACCTGCCGAGGTTTCGCTCCTGTTCTCCCACAGAGGCAGGCCGCCATCTTCCTTGAAATTTACATTTTTGAAGGGATACCGTCTAGGGACTTGAGAAAGAGTCTCCTGGGTTGTCAAAGGAGAAAGAGGCTTCTCAATGTATTTCAATCTCAAAGGAACAGAGAAAGAATTTGCAGTGACAAGCTGTCTGAAATAAACGCTCTGAGGAACATCTGGGGCTCGAGGCTTGTTCTGAAGTTTAGTCAAGCTGAGGGAAGCCTGGGGCCGGCTCGTCAGGCTGGGTCCAAAGCTAGAGTCTCTGATTCAGTGTCCACCTGATGACCTGAGATTTGGCCTTCATATTTCACAGCCCCACCCATCTGCTTCTTTACCAGCCCGTTTTCAGCAACTCTGGTGGAAAATGATGTGTGTTTTTGAGTCTCCTTGATTCAAACTAAATTTTGAGTCTTCCCAGAAGTCCATACTTTAGGTCAGATCATCCCAAACAAACCCTCCAAATCTGTTGAAATCCATCCAGCCGTTTAAACATGACATGGTGACAGAAATGTCATCATTGTTTATTTACAGAGAATTATTTATAATTCATAGAACTTTGCTTATAAATTATGCTAGAGACACGAAACTGAGAGGGAAGTAGCAGCAGTAGGGGGACTTTGAACTCTGGCATCAAACTGTGGGTTCTGGTCCTGACTTCCTGGATACTGCCCGTGGGATATGGAGTAAGCTACTAAACCTGAGTCTCTGGGTCACTATCATGGGGTAACACCTGTGTTGACCTTGTGTGTTGTGGAGATTATCTGAGATGATACACGTGAAGCGCTGTGCACAGTGCCTGCCACCCAGATGTGGTGGCTGTCGCTACACTAAGGGAGGGAGTCCTCAGGTCTCGGAGGGCGTTCTGGCCCCTGTGGGGTCCTCTTGCTAAGGGTGGTACCAACGAGGAGCCCTGGGATTGGCTACTTTGTGAATGAACCAGTGTGTTTGTTACCTGTTGATGCTGTAACACCTTACCGCAAATTTAGCGCCTGAAAACAATAGGAATGTATTATCTGACAGACAGTCCTGGAGGTCAGAAGTCCAAAACAGGTCCACTGTGCTACATGTTTTTTCCTTTTCTTGCCTTTTGCAGCTCCTAGCGGCTGCCTGCACTCCCTGGACCGTGGTCTTGCATCATTCTGACCTTTGCTTCCCTCGTCACGTCTCCTTCTCTGACTTTGACCCTCCTGCCTTCCTTATAAGGACCCTGTGAGTACACTGAGCCCACCTGGGTCACCCAGGAGCATGTCCCCATCTCAGGATCCCTGATTCAATCACATTGGCACAGTCCCTATTGCCATGTACAGTAATGCGGTCACAGGTTTGGAGAATTAGTCATGGATGCTTTGGGGGTGCAGTTATTCTCTCGGCTGCACCCAGGGTCCACTGACAGGCGTGCTAATGACTAGGTGACAAAGCGCAGGCTTTGGCTGATGTGCTTCTGTGCTGTGTTTTTGATGCAGACCTTCCCTGATGGATAATCTTGGGGAAGCCAATGGCGCTTTTGCCATCAACTTATTAAAAATGTTGGGAGAAGAGGAC